AGCCGCAGTTAACAAACTCACTCCCTGGTCCAAGACAAGTGACATGAAAACTAATTACTGACTTCTATTATAGATAGAAAGATGTTAAGAGTAAATAGTGAACATTCTTTTAAAATTAATTGTATAATTTGCACTTGAAAACCACTTTCCCTTAAGGGAAGAGAGAAAATTCGTTGCCTAAGTGTGGTTAAAACCCAAAGAAATGAGTTAAGTGACTATTGAGTGTATCAAAATATGCAAATCTTTTAACATACCACAGCAGCTATGGTTGCAGATATGGCAACAGTGAGGTATCTGCCAAGTTTGGCATCAGCAAGGAAGCCACCAACAAGGCCAAGAAGGTTGACAGTTCCCATGACATTGGTAACTATGGTGGCAGAATCAGGTGAAGGGAGATTCAAATCTCTAACCAAGTAGGTCACTAAATTCATGGCTATGCCCATCACACATATTCTTGGCCTGTTCAGTACCTGAAAAAAAAAAGGATTTTGTTGGAGCCAAATTTGGTTCAACCTTGAGAACATGACTCCAATTTCTATGGATTGAGATGAATGTGAACCTAAGATGAGCCCTGCTGCTAGCCATCCTCCAGTTTTTGTCTTGCCTACTGGGTGGCCTCGAAAATCCACAGCAGCAATGCCTTCTGCCCCTTTTTCCTCCTCTCCATGACTTGCAACCAGAACCTATAAACAACAGAGGGGGAAAACTTAAAAATCATTAACACATCAACAATTAAGTACAAACATTTGCAGAATGTATGTACTTCAATCCTCGCAACTCAGTTAGATTTATTTTTTATTTGTCTTAGATCCTTCACGTGGAGAAGTCAACTCAGTTTCCAACTAATCCAAGTTAAGCCAGTGGACTCACAAGCTATACTAGCACTTACTCTCTTAACAACACTTAGTCACCCCCAAAAGTTCATTTAAGAAAAACAATCTTTTTATCTTACCACTTGGATTAAATTATTGGTGGTATTTAGATTAATTAACAAATAAGAAGAAATATTTTTGTTCCATTTATTATGTTGTCCACAATCTTAAGTTCTTATGAATGTAAGTCTTAAGATTAAACATTTACTAATACAGTTTTATTGCATTTATCTCTTATTGTACATTTTTCTAAATTTTCTTTTCTTCTATTGTATAAAAATATATATTATGTTCAAGAATATGGCATCAGGTCCTTCTGGCCCTCCTATTCCACCTTCAGGAAATTCTGATAAGGGTAAGGGGAAGAAATCTTATGTAGTGAAGTTGATGACACGTTTCAATAATGAAATTGGTTCAACCAGTCAACCAACTACACCTACCTCTACCTCTACTGTTAGATCTGTTCCACCTCCATTAGTTGTTCCTGCCTTCACTCCCACTCCACATCAAGTTCCTACATCTTCACCTACCTCTATTGGTACATCTTTTCCACCCCCGATACAAGTGCCTGGCTTGACACCCACTCCATACCAAGTGCCTCCTTATCGAATGGCTTCACTCTCTCCCAATGTTGGTTCTAACCCATCAACTCCGAGAAATTTTGCAGCATCACCTGATATAGAGGATGCAGATCCACATTCTAGTTCAGCCGCCAATAACATGGAAGAATGTTCCAATAGTCGTCCAATGATTACACCCATTCGTGCCAGGCTGAACGTAGGTGGTCCAGTCAACAAGCGGGAAAAAGACTGAAACCATTTGTGGAGGATAATTTTCCTCAAAAATCTGCATTAAACCAAATAAAGTGAACTCTTCAATATTTTATAATTTATTTATAATGAAAAGCCATTGAACTGACAAGCTGAACGTAAGTGATCCATGACGAGTGGGAGGCAATGAACCTTTCTAGCAAGATATTTTCACCTCACCCAAATAGGCCGTTCAATAAACAAGGTAAATGATTCAATATTTTATAAGAAAAACCATTGGAACTTAAAAGACGAATTAGTTGGTCCAAATGACCGAGCGGGAAGGGACTGACCTCTTATTCGGATATTTTTCAGAAACATAGCGTTAAATAAAATACGGAATGCTTCAATATTTATAATCTTATTTTTGTGGAGGCATTTAGTTTTGACTCGTAAACCTCTAATGGTTAGCTGAACGTTCTCAACACAAAAGACATGCCCTTAGAAATTATGATGGAATTTTTTTCTCTTATTTCAAAACCTGGTATTGATCCGAAGTAGTGATGCCAAGGACGAGCGCTCATATGGTTTCTTGTGGTTTCATGGGGATGTTGTTTGGCCCCTCGGTCGTCCTTCCTTTGCTATGCTTTCTTTTGATCGTCCAATCCACTCCGAGAACGCAATCCACTCTGATGGGTTGTTGACATTGCAGAAGACACTCTAACGCTCAAGTCAGATATGTTTCATAAGAGGTGTCTATTTTGTTAGGATAAACAGGGTGTCTTTACCAAGACATCAATCATATATTTATAGAGTTTGTGGCAACCAAACTCATTGATTAACCATTAATGCAATATATTTGTCGCAACTTGAATCACGACGGGACGGCGAGCCGAAAAACAAAGAGGTTTGAGAAATAGATTTGTGGAGTCACTACAAGAAAAAATTGAATTACATACAGCAAAAATCCGTATATAAGACCCAAAATCCGTATATATTCTGTGTTTATATACGAATTACATGCGGACAAAAATCTGTATATAATACCATCGTAGCTAAGTTTACATACGGATTTATCCGTATATAACTTATATATGGAAATTATATACGGATATTTTCGTATATAACTTATATACGGAAATATCCGTATATAACTTATATACGGAAATTATATACGGATTTATCCGTATATAAGTTATATACGGAAATATCCGTATATAACTTATATACGAAATTAATAGGATTTATCAGTATGAAAGTTATATACGGAAATATCCGTATATAAACTTAATACGGATAAAGTCCGTATATAATTTTTATCCGGATAAATCCGTAGTAACTTATAGACGGTAAACCGTATATAAGTTATATTCCGGGAAAGTATATACGGATCGAATCCGTATATAAATGGTGTACAAGAGCTAATTAAAGTCTCTGGATATCTAGCAGTTCCCCATGACACTATACAAGCAGAACTGGACATTATAAGTGAAAATTCAACATGGTTCAAGCAAACCGCGACATTATACAGTGCACATTGGCCATATAAATTTCATACGGGTTTCAGATTACACTTAATCCACAAAAGAAAACATGGGATATGAATACAGAAATATTGTATAATGCTAAATTAACTGAACATTTGGTACGTTCATAAACAGATTGTCGTTGGGGTTCTCAATCAAGTTCAACAGTAAGGGAAATTAAGTTCTATAAAATGCCTAATAATGCATGTAATCATCATTTCCATCTTGTGGTTGTTCATCTGGTGGTTGCTGGTGTGGTGGTTGCTGGTGTGGTGGTTGCTGTTCTGGAGGTTGCTGTTCTAGTTGGACTATATTGGGTACGTCATTTTGAAGGTTTAAAAATTCTTGTGCAGCCGCGGCTGCTGAAGGCGGAAGGAATGGGAGGAGGACGCCTATAAAGCCTTCAAACTTTTGAAGCTACTGACCATATTGTTGTAACTGCGATTTCAGGTTAACAATTTCTTCTGAATTTTGAGGTTGAGCAGTAGAAGATGCCTATGTCTGTTGGGGAGTAAACTATCAACACAGTCTCTTGGGAAGTGACATTTCCAATACGTATAAGCGTCCCTTGTTTTTCCACCGAAGCCTCTAACCCACATCGGTTTCTCAATCTTTCCTTCGCAGGGGATAAGGAGCCGATGTTGAGGACACCAAACAGGTGTAGTCTCAGATTTAATTTGCCTGACAACTTTTGCTCCCATCACATTGTCCTGTTAAATGAATACTTCGCATACACATGAGGTTTAAATCAAAAATTCTAGTGATAGAGTTGTACCAAACTTACATGGTCGCCTTAGACTTTCGGCCCACAAATTCCCCTGTCGATGACGGAACTATGTGCTCTGCTGAAATATTGCTCAACCACGTGCACAGGACCGACCAAGCTCGTTTGACTGGCAAACAAAAGGAGTGTTAATAAATATTTGTAAAGTTTATGATTACAAAATATAAGAAAAAAAATGTACAAGTTATATACCAAACGAATAGCTGCTTCATGCAGCTTATAGATCCTCCAGTGTGCAAACAACCACCCTTTTAGATTGCCCGATTCTTCTTTGTCGTGTTCACACGTTTGTCTAGAAATGTGGCATGTTCCATTTTCCAAAGGAGCATTCACAAGTTAATCGTCCACCGGCCAATCAGGGTTTTGTCTAGAGTTCTAGCTTTTTTTCCTCTCGGAGAGTCTATGAGATGCTTGGTGTGATAATTGTTTTTTACCTTTCCTCATCTTCAGCTTCCATGAAAAAACCCCCTTCTCTTGTTATATCTTATGAATTATGAATAGTTGTGTTTATTGGAATTAGTAGTAAACACGTTCAAAGTATCAAATTAAATGCAGGACATCCAAGTTATTGACTTGTAACAGGATTGGGAATGAAAAGTGGTTTACCTTAAAAGTCGTTAACAAAGACGACATTTCAGGGTGACTTAGGGATTGAGCCCCATGTTAGCCAGGCTCATCAAACTGTTCCTTGATGGTGGCTGTGATTGCTTGGATGTAGGTTTGTAGGAGAAAACTAAAACAAAATTAAACCAACATTGGACAATTAATACAACAATGAATTGTCTATATTATTCCTTGGTTATTTTTTTTACCCTGCCTCCAT